ATTATTAAAACGCATTTTCTAATACATGTATTTACCTGATCCAGTGATACAGTAATTTGATCCATCAAACCAGCCTTTCCTGCCACCTTTATCAGTGTGCAGTAAACATCATATCTGATGGGATCTCTCTCGTGAAGCCAGTTCAACATGATGTTGAGTCTAGTCACACAGATCAAACAGAACTAGTGTCAGTGTTGGAGCAAGATTTCCACTTTCACAAGCACCTTGACCAAGGATTTGTAAATTTAAGCTAAGCCTAAAACAACAAATATGCATGGAGTACATGTAGGTGTCAATTACTTTGTTTCCTATTAAGAAAAAACAAAAAACCTGACATGTTCCCAGGTCAAAGACACAAGGTCTTTATTGTAGGAGAACCTGGACTTTCACTGATGACAACCCAGCTACATGTTATTGCATAACATACACCTGCATCTGAAGACATCCAAAAAAGTTTCGAAGGTTACCCAGTCCCAGGATGTTTTTTTTTTCCAGACATAACCTTTTCCTTTCCAAAAGGGGAGCACTTGAGTGAAGTAGTGACATTAGCTTAACTTTTTCAGCTAGGTGTGGCAAATTGGTCTGTAAGCATACGCATGTGACACCCACACCTAACGCATGATATATAGTTGGCAGGTAATCTATACAATACAGCTAGCTAAATCTGCATGTTTGTACTTACATTCTCAGTCTACTCAATGCTGTATCCTCCTCTGAGTTCACTTCGGCTACTTTGTCACAAAACTTCTTAATCAAGTCATCTCTCTTTTCTGTTACTACTAATATCAGGGACAGGAGGCTGTTCATGACACCTTCAAGTTCTTCAAAGGAAATAAAAAAGGTTATGCATGAAGCACAGTTATGATGACATTATAAGGGTTTGATGGCAGCTGATAAATACTGCACAGCAAATGTGACTCTGCACCTACCAAGTACCAAGTTAAGCTTAAGGAGTCTATGTACATCAAGTGGGAAAGGCCTGACCTTAATCAACAGGTCAAACACATCAATTTGACGCTTTCCCTATAGCTGCATGCGCACGCACATCTTTTTATTTCCGTTAACTTCGAAATTTATCTAGCGTATTGTTTTCCAACGCAATGTAATGTATGATTTGTAACAGGCACGTTTTAAATTACTGTAAACTTTCATAACCGTCACACTGACGATTATTGATGTACCATTGAAATATGTTTGTGAAAATTAAAAAAGTCGTATTATTTTTGAAAATTCCTACATTTTTGCTGCTGTCTCGACCTTTTGGAAATATATAGAGGATATTACATAGTGGTGCTAAGATAAGAATACACATGTTAGTAATATTTTTTAAGTGGTGAAAACAAAATTCTATGAATGAGTTTATCTGATCAGTAAAATATTGTTTTCAACATAAACGTTAACTTCATACTATCATGAATCTTTAAGCCACCATGTAATTTTCTTTGTTAGACTTATCTACCGCTTGCCATTTTCAATGACTGTTTGCACAAACACACAGGAAAAGGGAAGAAATAACATCATCAACATCCTCACTAGTGAAAATAATTAATATGTAAAATGTGCATTTCCAGAAAATATCCATACCCACCCCAAGGAAGGTTAACAGAAATTCCAAGGGGGAGGGGGGTTTCAAAAGCCCAATTTTTTAAAGGAAATTATGACACTTTAATGGAATTTCCAGAGAGGTGGGGGGTTCAAGCTAAAAAACCTTCCGTGGGAAGGGTATGGATATTTTCTGGAACAACACAATACACCACTCAGGTGTGGGATGTAGTTTTGTATGAATGTTATGAGTGGTGTATTTTCCAGACTTAAGAGACCTGTTTCTATACTCATGGTACATGTAAATACACCAAACTGATTATGTAGCTACAGAGATCTGAGAAGTCTTTTTTGATTGCTTGTTGCTCAGTTTTTATTGAATGACTAATATTTGAACAACTTGTTAATGTTATTCTTGTAGCACATACCTAATTCAGTTTTGAAATTTATGTCACATGCTGCCAGTAACTGATCTAAGTCTTCGTGTAATGGAGATGTGCTCTCTTCTTTTATATCTGCACCACAAGATTTTAGATATCCTCTGATCTCCTGTGCCTAATTGAAACAATTCAATATTATTACTACCGAAGTCATACAAGTGTGAACACGTGTGTTATCGATTATTCTTGAAATTCTTAAATGCACCCAGAGCTTTCGTGAGTCATGTTAACTTAGTCAAGCTAATCAATTACATGTAGACTGCCCACGTACGTAGGCTCTGATCTAGTACATATCTCAAGTCATTTACATGTAATAGTACATCAACTTTCACAGTTTTGCTCAAATTACTTGACACTTGTACATAGACAATTTGATCGTGGGGTTCCTAAAAACATAAATATAGCTTACTTCTGACAATTCCAGTGGCATTAAGTGGGAATAAAGCAAATTAAAGAATTGATAATGAATGTACGTAACTACATGTACTTTATAACACGTGACAAAACAGTTGTTCCTTTTACCAACTGATCAACGATCAAAAACACGCAAAATTCGTTCGAAATGAGAAATGGACGTCACATTAGTTAAATCTTACCTGATCTTGCTCTCCAACATCAATAAAAGCCGGCAAGATCGCTTCCATTTCGATCTAATTTCAGACTT